AGGGACACAATTTAGACAGGTGAACTGCATCTTTGATAGTGCACTAAGTATTTCATACTGCTTTCTTCCTATGCCTACACTCCTTAAGGCTATTATGGATTGTAATTTTTTATAAGAACAGAACCAGTTATGTCTATTTATGGTTCTCTCTGTCCTCTATAATTACTTTTTTTGGTGATTTGCTAGCCAGTTGTTACTCAAATTTAGTCCTGCAATATCACATACCCTCTTATTTTTGAAAATTGCCAAGCCACACCTTGACAAACAGTAAAAGGCATAACTTAAATTGCAATGAAGACAATTGGACAGAATAAAAACTGTTTGGTTCCTGAAATAATAGGCTTTTGCATAATACAAAAGTTATGCTCACAGGTATATACCATATTTCTTCACCTATACACCAAGACCCTAAAAGTTAGAGACCTTCCAACAGATTTGTGTTGTCCAAAAGAAAAAGCAAAACCATTAGCTATAAGCCAAGAGCAAATTTTGTGATTGTAACCAGCCATTTGAGTGAGCGAAACTCACAGAAAACATTGGGAAATGGCCCTATGAACACAAAAGCTAATGAATGAGAATAAACACAAAATAAAAAAAGCAAATCATAGGTGAGTTTTCCTTTGTAAAGTTATTCCTTTTGGGGAATTATTTTTTCAAAGATCATGACTGATTTTCATATTATCGTAAAGGTGGAAGTTCAGCAAGTGCCAATGCTTTGTTCCCGATTGTAAGCACCAGTCAGACAGCCACAACTTTTGGTTCTTCAATTTTTTCTGCAAACTGAAGAAGCTTAAAGAATGTAATAAGTGGATTTGTTTGAGAAGGTGAGTGTAGTAATGATAAACACTCGCTTGTGAGACTTGTGATCTTTCGATGTGGCTCACTTGTAAACAAGCCTTGTAGTTACAGAAACCTTTGTTTAGCATTGAAGCTTTCAGTTGATTAAATCTTACAAGAAATTATTGCTTAAAAACTTTTGTGGTTTCATTACAGAAGACATAGAACCAAACCAGAATTCTAGAGTGAGCAGCTGTCACTTTAGAGATGGAGAGAAGTCTATTGGACCTGAGATTTGTCCTCAACATGAAAATAGGTTTTTCCCTACACAGAAAAAAAACACCTCACACCAAAAAGAGGAAGTCAATGGACTGCCCAGAAAGTATAGAGGAGACCGTTAGAGGTTTCCAAGAAAGGAATGAGCCTGATGCTTGTGCTAAGGAAAATGCAAGCAAGCCCTCAACAGAACAAGTTATATTGTAAGCTGAACTTGATTGTGCCACCTGAGAGCTGCAGAAACTCAAAAAAGATATTAACTACAAAAGGAATCATTACACTGCATCTTCAATAGATACAGAACCCTTATGCATGGAAACAGGTCTACCTACAAAAGTTTTTGATATTTTTATCAGGCATGTAAACAGATATAAGGATGATATCAATCATTTTTCAGGGTGGAAAGTTGATACCACTAGCCTTGAGGATCAAATTTTTATCACACTCATGAAGTTGAAGCAAAACTATACAAACCGTCACTTGACACAATTATTTTCCTGTAGTGTTTCAACAATCTCAAAAATTGTCGTGACATTTGTTCACGTTCTTCAGTCTTTTATTTAATGACTTATTGACAAGCATCCCTTCTAGAAATAAGGACAAGACTTGCTCACCATCCTCCTTCTCACAGTTTGGTAGCTGTAGAATAGTAACAGATTGTACTGATATTGAGGTAGCAACTCCCAGTCTAATGAAGGACCAAAATGCTGTTTATTCTAGCTTCCACTGTTTGAATTCTGTTAAAGTTATTGTAGGGGTAGCCCCAAATGCAGTCATAACATATGTGAGAAAACTGTATCCAGATTCCATTTCATATAAAAAAAATTGTAGAAAAATTAGGTTTATTACGTTACCTTGTAGCAGGTGATTTAATATTAGCTGACAAGGGTTTCCTAATTAATGATATAGTCCCTCATGGTGTTTCAGTCAATATACCCCCATTTCTTAGGGTGCGTTTGATTGACACTATTCCGGAATAAGAATAATAGGAATAAACCCAAACAACCGTTCCATTGAGACACTATTCCAATTCCGGAATACATGGAATGTATTCCAAACATTCTGCTCCAGAGAGCAGAATACTTGGAATAATCCGGAATAATGACGCCATGCTTCACGGCTTTTTTCAAATCAACAAACAAAATGGCTTCTGCTGTGTACGAGCAAAACGAAATTTTACTCAAAAAAGGATACTCCTGGAGTCGGGAAGAGACCCTTCTTCTCATTTCCTTGTACAAAGAAAAGAAAGAGATGTTCCAAAATGTTAACTACAAGAAGAAACAAGTCTGGGAAGTGATTGCGGCAATAATGCAAGCGGAGAGTGTCGAGAGTGGTCGAAATATTTCGCTGCAGGCTGACCAGTGCGAAGGCAAATGGAAAGCTCTCACCCTTGGCTTTTGCAAATGCAAAGATCATAACAGTCAAACTGGCAACGAAAGAAGAGAATGTCCATTTTACAAGGAGCTATCAGAAGTGTATGGCTACCGGCCTAATGTTAGGCCATATGCCACGGCAAGCAGCTCAGGGCAAGGCGACTCCTTAAGGTGTCCTGAGAAGGATTCCATGAAGTCAGAGAAGTCAAGCGACGATGATGTCAAGGAAAGAACACCTGAAACAAGCACAGCTACAAAGAAACATAAACCAGTGGCAAGCAGCTCTACGACACCCAAGAAACCACGGTTGGGCTCTGGTGGACGAAACGAATGTCTTGCATGGTTTAAGGACTATGCAGAGCAGAAACGTGTCGAGCAGGAGGCTCAGCGAGAAAAGGCTAAAAAACACCACAGAGATAAAATGGAGCTGCTCTCTGGCATTTTGGGTGTCCTAAAGGATTTAAACAAATGAATTCCTGCTCTTGAAACTGGCTTTTACTTTGCCCGTCAATTTTTGAACAACATATTACTGCATATGGACTATAAAGTTGCAAATGTTCAACAAGTTATTTTTATTTGCTGAAATCTTTTAACAGACATTTTAAAGTATTATTTCAAAACCAAGCATATTTATTATATGTTATTCATATATTTGAAGTGAAACAGTTTATAAAGTTCATGTTAATGCAAGATATAAAATGATTTTATACTACTTATTATTAAAAGACAATTTTTAAAATTTGTGGCAGATGTTATTGAGTATTTCATAGAAAGGGAATGGCTTTCTCTGATGTGCTGGGTAATTACAACATACTCTGAAAATTCTTCATAACAAAGTTATAAATTTTGTTTAGAAATGCTGCTAGCTGACAGACAACATGTTGATCATGATTGGTATAAACATCCAAGTAACATGTAATGTTACTACATGTGCCCATAGGGGTTTTTTACTGAAAGCTAATACAATTTTTTTTTTCTTAGACTGGATGTTGGCTGGACAGCACAGCTTTACTGCTGGGGGTCGCATTCGCAAGGTTGGGCTTGACGAGATCTGCAGATGGATCAGTGACGCCTGGGACGACATACCATCAGAGATGATTGCCAAGTCGTTTCGCAAATGCTGTATCACCAATGCATTGGATGGCACAGAAGACGAAGAAAGGAGGAGGATCCATTTGAAGATCTTGATGAAGTAGATGGTGACGACCAGCTGTATTATGCCGATCACTTCGAGCAACAACTTGCAGAAATTGACCCTGAATGCTTTGAGAACATTTTTGGTGAAAGCGATGGCGAGGACTTTTATGGTTTCTCAGCAACTACAACAGTTGTTGAACATTGAACACTGGTCGATAGAATGAACTTTAACAGTATATTAATGCTCATGTAAATAGTTTTTGCTTTTCTCGTGAAAATGATACTGAACCGTGTTGTACAAGATTTCGCTTTGAACAAAGATTGATGTGCCGTACTTTCAAACATTGTACAATGTAAATAGTTTTTTGCTTAAACAAGGAATTTCGTTTTCTAATATCAAGATATCTGTACCTGTAACTTGTAAATATATTATTCAGTTTTGTAAAATACAGTCTTCACAAGTCCAGCATTTGTTTGCTTGTGTCCTTCTCTGGTGTCCAGACTTCCCTCGTCAAATAAACGCGTGGTTACTAAGCAAACGTTTTGTAGCATTCTCCAGCGATTTATTTTCGTTCCATCGTTCCATTTTCATTTCAACTGTGTGCTTTAGCAATGAAGAGAACTATTGTCTTTCGCAGGAAATGGGGAAATTGATTAAAGAGAACCTTTCAAAAGGTATTTTCAGAGTTGATTAACTTATTTAAAATGTCACTGCAAATACACAACATTAAATTTCCTCAAGTTTATTTGTGAACATTTTGATGCGCAAACAAACGATCACCTTTTTTACAAAAGCGCATTTTTGTTTTTTTTTTTTTTCAAAATCATGCTTGAAAGTTGGGGGTGCGGCTTATACACGAGTGCAGCTTATACACGAGTTTTTACGGTACAATTGTGGTCTTAAACTACTGTCTGGGTAAAATACACTAAAAGTCCAAGCTTCCGTGTCAACCACTCACGATGCTGTTGACTAGCAAAAGCTTGGGCTTTTAGTGTAGTTTACACAGACAGTATTTTAAGGCCACAATTGCATTTTCATTCTAGTTATGTATAAATCATGCTACTCAAGGACAACATGCAAAAAAAACAAGATTTTACTCAAAAAGCTAATTTATAACTTGTATCTCTGCGAGTGTCAAGTATACTGTCAAATACCTCTCTATAACCAAGAAGAGCTGAAATATTTAATTGCAATACATTCTTTAAGTTTTCAGCCATAATATGTTCAATGTTCCACCATTAAAAAAATATGACCCTGAAGGCTTGGAAAAAATTGTGACTCTCCCCCCAAATATAGTAGCCCAACCCCCCCGCTAAATAATGACTGGTCCCTAATATATATAAATTACTATTACAGGAAGAGCAGACAAGAAGTCAAGTGTAAGGAAAATTTTCAATCATCACCAGATGGTAGATTTTTTACAACAGCAACAGAACTTAACAGTAATTCTGCATGAGCTCATTACGCTTGGCAACTGCATGACAACCTGGAGTCAAGATATTTTCAAAACCATTAACTTCCTCTTCTATGTCACCCATAAAGTCTTCCCATTGATCACCACTGTCAAGGCATACATTATGTAAGGTGCATGCAGCGATTATTACTGTTGGAATATCCTGGATTCGTAACATGTCCAGGTATTTCAGTCTGCGAAATCTTTCCTTTAGAAAGGAAAAGGCCCTTTCTATAACCATTCTTGTAGATGAATGGATGAAATTGAATCTCGGATGCTGAGGTGTTAAATTGCCATGATCTTTAAAGGGTGTTATCATCCAGGTCTCCAAAGTGTATGTGGAATCCCCCAGGAGGTAGGAATCATCTTGGAATTTGTCATTGACAGTTTGATAGAAATCTGAATTTTTAAAAACTCTTTGAGTCATGCACACTACCAGGCCAACCAGCATAACAGTTGAGAAAGCGCATTTCAACGTAGCAGATGGCAGTCAAGCTGACTGAGTGAAAATTTTTTCTGTTTATGTAATTCTCGGGACACTCCTGCAGTGCTTTTACAGGAATATGCGATCCATCAATGGCACCTCTTACGCCGGGCAGTCCTTTGTGCTGACAAAAACCTTCCATGATCACCTGAGCTCTTGCCTGGTTTGGCCACACAATAACCTGGCCAGTGATGTTATTTTTCAGCGCTTTGCAAACTCTGTTGACACATGTAAAAACTGAGCTCTTCGTTACATTGAATCTGTCTGATATTGATTTTATTGATTCTTGATTTCCAAGAAACCACAATGTAATCAACAAGTGCTTCTCAACACTTATCGGCTCTCTACCTCCGTGCTGTGTGCCAGTAGGAAGCTCTGGACAGTTTCCAAGTTCTACAACAAGCTGTTCAAATGTGTCTACCGAAATACGAAAATGGCTGCGAAACTCTGACAAATTATAATTGGGAACGGTTTCCGCATAACCTTCGATGCGAACCGCTTTACGCCACTCTGACAACAAGTTATTTGCATAAAACAGGGGCAGAAACTCTTCTAAGACATCTTCTTCTTCTTGTACAGATTCCTCCTCGAGAAATTCTTCAACAAAAGTTGCAAAACCTGCAACAATTACCTTCAATATCGCTGCCATGTTGCTGTTCACAATGTTACGGAAATTTGTATTTTCCTTCGGAAAACCACTGTCTGCGTGTTATGTCGCGGGCATTATTCCAGAAACGGAATAATTGTTTTATTGACGAAAGGATGGAATGGCTATTCTGGAATAATCCGGAATGTATTCTTATTCTGGAATAGGGTCAATCGAACGCACCCTTAATAATGGAAAGTTTACTGAAAGTGAGGCAAAGGCCACTAAATCTATTGCAAAATGTAGGATTCATGTAGAAAGGGCTAGTGCCAGACTTAAGGAATTTAAAATTCTCTCTTTTATACCATCATATTTTAGATGTTATGTTGATGAGCTATTTCAATTGTGTGCTGCCCTCGTAAACTTGCAATTTCCCCCTATCAAAGAAGGCTGTGAGGGTACAGAGGGATTTGAAAAACAGATTAGGTTAAATATATTGAACTTTAATTAATGTTACAATCTAATAATATATAATAATTAAGATATATATTGTTTATACATTTTCAACAATTATTACTAGTAAACATGTTCATGTTTAATTATGAAATGCCACAAAAAGTCTTACTTTGTAGTACAATTATAAAATTTTCATATTTTGTTTCATTCCAAAAACTTTATTAAAAGGTATGACAGAGTAATGCATATAAGATGTTATTATCAAAATTCTGGGAACTGAGAAGTTGCATGTCGAAATTTGGCCAAACAAAAATAGAAAAGGTACAGACTGATTATCATTAATTGATGGCAGCAAAAAAAAAAAACAAAAAAAAAAACAATTGCACAACAAGCCGTTGGAAAATTCCAGTTTGCAGAATTTTGGTAATCTCAATAATACAGGTGTCCTCATAAATAGACATCTAGTTTATTAGTCATCTGAATAAATCTAAGCGAAACTGGCAAGTGAAAACCTTTTGCTATGTGATATTGCTGAAAGATCACCTTCAATGTTGTCTTTCCAACTCTCATCCCTCTTGATATTTATTGTCACAAAGTCTTTTGTAATCTAGAAAACAAAGTAACAAAACACTTCTGGTCAAAAACATTTGCCCTTACACCTGATGCCAATATACATGGTCCTGTGGTACATCCTGGGAGTAATCTGCTTCTTAAATATGCAGATGACTTGACACTTAGCATTCCAGTCAAGTCAACAGTTCTCAACTCTCTTGCAATGCAAGAGGTGGGGAACATTCAACAATGAGCCTGTAAGAACAGGATGAAACTTAACCTAAGCAAGACCTGGTGTAGTGTATTGCATTACCTAAGCGTTACTATAGTCACGCTATATCCTGTAAGACATGATTGGTACATGATTGTAAAAGTACATTCCTATGTAAAAGTAGTATTACTGATTCCTAGTATTGTATTGTGAATATAGCTTGTTGATTCTTTAATAAAATTCAGTTGAGCAATAGCAATGAAAGGAGAAACTTGACTGAATCTAGACAACACAACATACTGGCGATGAGGATTAAAAGCCAATAACGTACTCCTTGAGCTAGATGGAACGGATGGGACTTTCTACGCCACTGCCGTTCAACATCGACGCAGCCGACTTGTATTGCGAATGGCAGCACTGGGTGAGTTCCTTTGATATATACTCAGTGGCTTCCGAGCTCTCCGACGAGGACAACAAAGTCCAGCGAGCGACCTTCCTGCATTACCTTGGGCCCGCTGTGCAAAGGATCTTCAGAACCCTGCCTGGCAAACATAAAAAACTTGAAGATGCGAAACTAGCTCTTCAAAACTACTTTGTGCCAAAACGAAACGTGGTGTCTGAAAGGTACAAGTTCCGATCCAGGGAACAGAGGCCAGATGAGCCGATAGATAGCTACCTTACAGCACTCAGAGAACTTGCGAAATTGTGCGAGTTTGGCACACTCGAAGAAGAGATGATAAGGGACCAGATCACTGAAAAGTGCGCGTCGAAAAGCCTTCGACAAAAGTTCCTGACTCAAGACGATCTGGACCTGACAAAAACGATGAAAGTGGCCAGGAGCGAAGAATCCTCAAGGAAAGATGCCAGCATGATTACAAAGGGCACCAAGGAAGACCCCATACCAGTCGACAAAGTCAACGCCAAAAAGCCTACGGATGGAGCAGACGAAAGAAGGTTCATCTGTTACAGATGTGGCGGATTGGATGGTCACAGTCCTAACGAATGCGGTGCAATCAACTCGAGATGCAATTCCTGCAAGAAAGTGGGTCATCTTGCCCAGGTCTGCAAATCAAGCAAGCAAGATCAGAAAGCAAACCGGAAACAAGGGAAAAAGTCACGAAAGAACCCCAAGAAGACGTACAGGAAAGTTCGAAACCTCAAAGCGGCAGAATGGTTCAGTGAGGAAAGCACGGACGAGAATGAGCCTGTATTCTCAATGAACAATGAGGACAGTTCAGTCCAAGTGAAAATGGACGCACAAAAGATGCGCATGATAGTAGACACCAGATGTAAATACAATATTATCTCGTCACAATTGTACAATGCTAAATTTAAGTCTCATGAACTCAGACCAAGCAAAAAGCGATTTATTGCTTATGGACAGAAAGATCCATTAAATTGCAAAGGCTATTTTACTGCCACTATCAAAGTAGGAAAGAAAGAAATAAGAGCAAATGTATATGTTATACAAGGGCATTCAGAGTCACTCCTTGGGAGGGATTCAAGTTTCAATTTAGAGATAATTAGTGTAAACCTCGTTCAAGACAAGCCAAGTTTTCCTAAGACTAGTGAAAATAGTGAATTAGATTCTTTACTACGTGAATTTGACGAAATATTTCATGGGATAGGTAAAGTGGCCAACTTTGAGCACAAAATTGCTATTGACTCTAGCGTCAAACCTGTTAGTCAACAATTAAGGTGTATACCATTTAGCCAAATTGAAGCAGTTAACAACGAGCTAGACAAGATGCTCGAAAATGACATCATTGAGGAGGTCACAGAGGCCAGCCCATGGGTCTCTAATTTAGTAATCGTCCCAAAGAAATCAGGGGAAAAAAGAGTGTGTTGTGACCTCAGGGAAGTAAATAAGGCTGTAATTAGGGAACGACACCTATTACCTAAGGTAGATGACACTTTGCAAGCTATGCACGGTTCAAAGTATTTTGCAAAAATCGATGCGAAGAGTGGTTTTTTTCAGCTTACGCTAGCTGAAGAGTCGTGGTACATCACTACCTTCATCACACCTCATGGTTGTTTTAGGTTTAAGCGTACTCCCTTCGGTCTTAGTGATTCAAGCAAAGCTTTCCAAAAAATGATGGAACAGATTTTGTTTGGAATCGACAGAGTTCAAATCTCTATCGACAATGTCATCGTGCACGCTGTGACAATGGAAGAACTCATTAACCGGCTCCGTAAAGTTTTCAAGAGATGTCATGCTAACAACTCAAGGCTAAATCAAAGCAAGTGTGAATTCGGCGTTACCAAGATTTCAGTGTTAGGCTATGTAGTATCTGCCGATGGTATTAAGCCGGATCTGAAAAAGTGTGAAGCAATAAAAGCCACACCACTGCCAAAGAATGTATCAGATCTTTGGTCATTTCTTGGAACGTGCGGTTATGTTTCCAAATTCATACCGAATTACGCGAACATCGTGGAACCTTTGCGAAAGTTAACTCGGAGCGAAGTAAAATTTTCGCGGGGAAAGGAGCAAAAAGAGGCATTCGAAGCCCTTAAGGAAGAATTATCTTGCGAGCCCGTTCTCACATGCTTTCGCTTAAACTCTCCTACGTATTTGATCACTGATGCTAGTCCAGTAGGTTTAGGAGCAATCCTGCTTCAAGACCAAACTAACGGCAAGCAAAAAACCAATCGCCTACATAAGTTGATCACTTACGCCTACCAAACGAAGATATTCGCAAATCGAACACGAAGCGCTTGGATGCGTATGGGCAGTCGAATGCCTGCACAATTATTTGTTCGGAATCAATTTTACGCTACTTACTGACAACAAACCTCTGTCCAGCATGTTTGATCCACAGTCCAGCAAAGTCCTGCCACCACAAATTCAACGTTTGGCCTGGAGATTGCATCAGTACAATTTCCATATACAACACATATCGGGAAAGGACAACACTGCATATTCACTGTCTCGACTTCCTTCGAAGTGTGAAAACTACACCGATAGCGGAACTGTTTCCGAGAATTGTTAGGTTTGTTTATAACACCAACATGTTAGACCTGCAAGCTGTCACTCTTGCCAAGATGAGCCGCGAAACACGCAGAGATGACACTTTGTCCAAATTAATCAAGCATATTCAAGATGGCAAGTGGTCGCGCGATGAAAAACTGAAACCATTTAGAGCAGTTAAGGATGAATTATCTGTTTATGAAGGAATTATTCTCAGAGGAAATCGAATTGTTGTTCCTTCGTCACTACAAAAGAAAATTCTTAAGCTCTTGCATGAGACGCACCAGGGAAGTGTCAAAACTAAACAGTTTCTCAGGTCACCATTCTTTTGGCCTGGAATGGACAGCGCAGCAGAGGCAATGATTAAAAATTGTCATGCATGTGTTTTAAATCAACCGTTAAACAAGTACACGCCTCTCCTGCCTGCATCGTTACCTCGTGGTCCTTGGGTAAAGGGCGCAGTAGATATCGTTGGTCCAGTAAACGGGAAATTTATTTTGACATACATCGATTACTATTCGTCATATCTGGAGGCGCACATACTGCGACAAATCACCTCTCGTGAGGTCATTCGAGTTCTGACATATTTTGCCAGATTTGGTTTTCCAGAAGAGTTGGTTTCTGACAATGGTAAACAATTTGTAAGCGCAGAATTTGAAAACTTTCTGAAAACGTGCAGTATCAAGCATTTGCCGTATTTTGCTAGAAGCAATGGAAAATTAGAGCGATTTCATCGGTACCTTAAAAAAAATTTTCGCGCTGCAATATGGGAAAAGGAATTACCCAAAATTCTTATGTCTTACAGAGCGACTCCTCATCCTGTTAGTGGGAAATCACCAACTATGTTGTTGTTCAATCGAGAAATTCGTATGAAAGTTCCACATGTCAAGTCGAATCAGACCAGCCAAAATGATGACGAGCTTCATTCTCAATGTCACAAATATCAAGAGCGCATGAAAGATTATCACGACAAGAAAAATAACGCCATGCCGCACAACTTCAAAATTGGCGATATCGTATTTTGCGCAAACATGAAGCCAGCAAAGTTACATTCTCAATTTCACCCGGCTAAGCATGTTATCATTCAGTCCCAGGGGAGAGACACTTACCTTGGTCATCGCAGCAACTGGTACTACTCTTATTCGAAATGCAAAATACTTGAAGCGCGCACCCACAAATGAGAATGAAGAAATCGTAGATACTAGCAACGACGAACAAAGTAATGGGTCTAGTAGTTCTAGTGATTCAGTGAATGTTAAATCTAGTGAGACCATTCACAAACATTCTGATGCTTGTATGGAAAGTGATCATTCCGATGATCAAGCCTCTCAGAATAAAGGCAATGTCGCAACTAGGTCCGGACGTGTAGTGAAGTCTACACAAGATAACGAGAACTTCGTATATTATTAGCTGATTTAAATAGTTTAAAATGATTATTATCTTTAATTAACTTTGAAATAGAAACCTTTGAACTTTGTCTGGGAAGGATGTAGTGTTTTGCATTACCTAAGCGGGAAGGATGTAGTGTATTGCATTACCTAAGCGTTACTATAGTCACGCTATATCCTGTAAGACACGATCGGTACATGATTGTAAAAGTACATTCCTATGTAAAAGTAGTATTACTGATTCCTAGTATTGTATTGTGAATATAGCTTGTTGATTCTTTAATAAAATTCAGTTGAGCAATAGCAATGAAAGGAGTAACTTGACTGAATCTTGACGACAACACCTGGGAAATGGTATTAAGAAGGAAAACAACCAAACAGGTGCCTGATGTGTTACCCTCAATTGTAAAGAAGCCTGAACTTAAATTGTTTGGTGTAACCTTCAATCAAGACCCCTGTAACTGGGACACTCATTTTGATCTATGTAAAGCCAGTTCTAGGCTATACGTAATAAGGGTTTGTACATTTTATGGTTATTCGCAGGAGGAATTGACAGTTCTTTTTAAAAGCTTAATTATGTGATTATTTTTTAATGCAATTGAAGTTTGGGGAAGCACATTACAATGTAAATACCTTAGCCAAATCGATAATTTCAGTAAATGTGTCCACACATATAGTTATTTATTGAATTTTACACCCATTAAAGATACTCTTTGTACCAGAGATAAATTGTTATAGGAACAGATCACAAAAGACTGCGATCATTGTCTACATGACCAACTTCCCATGCAGAGGGCAAGGTCAATCCGTTCTCATGGCCATAACTACATTTTACCTTGTATCCATACAGAACATTTTAAGCAAACTTTTATTAACAGATGTCTTTCAAGTTTCATTTAGGTTACAACTAGTTTTCTCTTTAGTAATGAATTTTTGTAAACCTTGCAAGTTTGTTGGCAGGTATATGTTGTTTTGAAATTAATAAAGACTACATACATATATGCAAATTCCAAGACACACTCTACTTAATGAAAATCGCACCTTTTACAGCAGGTGGGGGTGTTGCTTTGTATATTAGATTAGGCTATTCTTACTCAATGAGAAATGACCTTGAAGATAGGTTCAATTGAAAACCTGTGGATAGAAACTAATGATACTGTTGTGGGTGTGATCTATAAAACCCCAAATTTTTCATACAGGTTTTTCAGACAAACTCGAAAAAATTCTACATAATGTTTACCTCTCCCAAGCGAGATCAGAAACATAATTTTTTAGGCTTCAAGAAATCCATGTTAGACCATTTTGTGAATAGCTATAAAGATTTAGATTTTTTTTATCATGTAATTTTAAATTTTATATTTTATTAACTGGCCTCATCTTTGCTCTTTTTTAACGTACTAGATAGTTTAAATTTTAACTCTAATATTATAGTTGTATTTTAATAACTCCTTATATAGTTAGTCATTAATGCTTTTATGCAATGTTATTAGTATTTTAGTTTGTACTATTTGCTACGGGCCACTGGTTCTTCAGTATATTTACTACTTTGTGTAACCCTCATTAAATAAAGTTGATTATTATCATCATAAACCAAGATCCTACTTTAGCTGACCTTGCAAGATACAAGCAACCCCCTGCAATTCCATTTGTTCTGCTTGATGAACATTTGTAATCATTTGAGCAGAACAAGGGCCAACCCTGTTAGGAAACATGCATTTCCAGCTGTTTTACAAATATTCATACCTCATAAAGAATTTTAGAACGGAGACCAATAAAAAGGTGACTGTAACTTCTTCACTGGTTTTAATAAATATTCCTCACAATCAGGATTGTCATTTACAATACTGGTATTCTTGCAAACAACTGCAATCTTGCCTGTCAATAATCATGCCTAAAGCGTGTTGTACTTTGTACAGTCTTTCATTCAAATTAAAAATCGTTGCTAAGCCAAAGGCAAGCAATCTCAAGATGTTCATGAAAAGAAGAACAATGGGATGTTACACTCCCAAGTATTCACAACTTGACCGCAATTTGTTCCATGGTTTGCAGATTAAAGGGCTTCAGACAAGTTCTAGCTATGTATTTTTTTGGTCTTTGTTAGGAACCACAAAATTAAGATAATTTTATCATACTTTTCATTTTATGGAATGAATGGCGTCAAGTGTCATGTTTGCACCTCTTACCATGGAAACTAAAAACACTGATTGGTCAATTTTAGTTGAAAAAGCAAACAAACTTGCATGCCAATCTGCACCCAACAAGTACTAATGATTGTCCTTTTCTATTTTCCAAGTATTGCTGTTAGTGTTTTGATGCTTCCATTGCTTCCTTGAAGCAATGGAACTTTTTGAAGATCCAGCATTTAAAGCATCCCTGGGATAGAATCTGAAACAAAAGCGACAGCTTTCAGTCAGTCTCCAAACATAAACTACCCTTTGCTAAGCACCTTCCAGCAAATATGGAGGAGAAAGTTGTAAAGTTTCACAGCTTTATCATCGCACCTTGATCTACAACATGGATGAGATGCCAATGCGCCTTAAGATACCATTGAGCTGAAACCCCGGAATCTTGTGGAAGCCATTCTATTACTGTGAAGTCATGGGGTGCGGAAATAGTGAAGGTTTATTGTGGCTCTGGCTGTTGCTGCTAATTCTATAAAACTGCAGCCCAAAATCATTTTTAAAGGAGAGCAGATGCCAAGACCTGACTGTTCCCAGTTCTATGAAGGTTTAACTCCAAAAGAAAGGATGGATAGATGAAGAAGAACTGCCGATGTTTGCCCTGTAGTCTTCCCAATAAAAAGTCAGTCCTAGCATGGGATTCCTTGCAAGGCCATCACACCGACCAAGTGAAGAGTTTTCTTGGTGGCCAGAATGTTGATGTTGCAGCCGGGAGGGTTCTTCAACCACTCAATCATTGCCTGAACAAGCCGTTCAAAGAAAATGTCAGACAAAAATAGCTGACTTAGTTCATCTGCAGCCCATATGAATACATGCCTGCAGGAAAGAAGAAACCTCCAATGTACAACATGCTTCTTTGTTGGATCAAGGAGAGTTGTGCTGAAATTCCTGCAGAGATGGTTCAGAAGTCCTTCAAGGACAACATTTCAAACGTGCTCGATGGAACAGAAGATGATGCCCTTTATGCGGAGCAGATGGATGGCATACCTGAAGCCTGGGATGATGAAGCAGAAGATGAAACTGCCCACAAGTTCAAGGTGGACAGCAAAGAGGAAGACTAAAGGCCTACAGTGGGGTGACTGTGCTCTCACTTAAAAAAGATGGCTCTTTCAGGAGCCACCACCACTGTTAAGCCAATAACCAATGTAAACAAGTTTGTGCTTAGTTTTTCCATGTTGGATATTTGGCCATAAGCCGAATATGAACATGTGTAGTGACCTATACTAATTGTTTGTGTTTTGATTTCAAGAAGATCTTGCTTATAAGCCAAAAACCCTTTTTGGACTAAAATTTTGGCAAGACTTCAGAAAGTTTCTGAAAATATCACTCAGCTTACAGCCAAATAACTGCAGTAGTGTGGAACAAAGCTAAAAAGAAACCAAGAATGTACTGATGGTGGAACTGAAGAAGACCTGACAAGCTGTTTTGCACCGACTGACAATAAGGCTTATTTGCCTTATGGGCCATACAAACAACAAGCAGCAAAAGGCAAGAGGAAAGCCTTTGATAGTTATTCACTGTCCTCACTAAGGAGAGCCAAGAGGAACCTCAAAACACGGTCAATGCAACCAGTTGAAGTTCTTATAGGGTGCTTAAAAAACTTCAAAATGAAGTGCTACTTCAATGGAATTGATTTCAAGGCCAACCTGGACTTGATGCATACCAAGATATATCGTTATTTGGCTGTTGATTTTACAGAAGAATTTGATCTTGGGGCTGTTACTGAACAAGTAAAGCCTCTATAAGAAATGAATGAGAGGGAATACAAAGCTTTGAAGAAATACCAAGATGATGAAAAAAGTCGTATCAAGAAAGGGTGTGATAGCTTTAGAGAAAAGATAAGAAATGTGAGACAAGATTTTTAGGCACCAGTTAACAAGGGTACAAGAAGCATAAGTGGGAGGATTGCTGAAGAAACTTTTGAGCTGTTGACTGAAAAATGGGGTAGGCTGCCTTATATTTGTGGTTTACAAGGTCCCTTTCCATTGGAATTGATGGAGATACTTTTTAGTACAGACGTAAGCTCTGAAATAGATGATGAAAGGTGCAAAGGTGTGAGTTATTAAAAAGTTATACTTC